CCCAAGAGGAGCCGATGCAGAAAGCATCGCCGGCTTCACACATAGGTCGCTCTCGAGCGGTTGTGCATGCAAAGCAAAAGCAGTAGCAGTAGTAGTAGCAGTAGCAGTAGCAGCAGTAGTGGTAGTGGTGGTAGTAGTAGCAGTAGTAGTAGTAGTAGTAGTAGTAGTAGTAATAGTAGTAGTAGTAGTAGTAGTAGTAGTATAGTAGTAGTATTCATTCATTCCGAACGCAGTGGGATGTCCTCCACCTAGCGAGAGGCACGGACTTATGCCGGCGTTCTCCAGGAATGCTACACCGTGCTCGAGAGCAGCAGTGCATGCAAAAGATCTAACATGTTTGAAAAATAAACGTCACCAATCAAGATATGCGCATAAAGCAGCACCAATCTTCAGGAGTCGCTCCCCTGGCAATCGCATCGGCGCAATGCTACAAGCAGAACACTTGCAGCATGAGGATGTGGCAATGCGAAACTTTCAAATGCGCTATGTGTGCTGGCAGTGTCCCGTTTCGGCGATGCAATGCTCGGAAGGCGCACTGTCAGCTCGGATAACAAGAGACCTGGCTTGGTATTCAACTTGGAATACATCACTGGTGTTTTTGGCAGCCACAGGAAGATGTATGGTGGCCTCGAGATCAGAAAAGGTCAATCGCCCAGCATCGCTGCTCCTGCGACTGTGCTTCAAAGCTAGGAAGATGGTTTCTGCCGGCTTGATAATACATGGCCTGCTGGGCATGTCACCCCAGTCATCCACGCATGCCTGCAAAGTTGTATGCGTAGATTGCACAACAACCTGGAGACACATGCAAGCATCTGGAATGAGTGCACGGGCACCGACCTCTTCCAAGACATGAGGATGTGTACCCCATTCCCCTGAGCATGCATCAGATTTGTGTGATCGCAGTAGATCAAGATGACGTCAGGTGCAGGCGAAGTATGCAAGGCTTGCCATTTGCGGGTGATAGACGCCCACTGCAGCATTTTATCTAGTCTAATCGTGATCTGGGGTTTGCTCACACTGTGTGCCCACAGCTGACGATAAAGACCGTATGACAGATGGCTTCGCTGAGTGTCGCACCAAAACGGCCAGAGCAAGCACTGCATGATGGCATGAAGTCCTACAGGGATGTCCAACATGTTGAGGTGCAGCTCAGCAGGTGTGACTTTTTCCCTGGTCAACACAGGGTGAGGAGGAAGACTGTCAGACATTGGTTCGCAATCCACGTGGCCTGTGCCTACCAACGAAGCAGCTGAGCCTGGTAGGAAAGGCCCCCGCTTTCCTTCCGAAGCCGACAGCCCATGGTGTGAAGCGCAGCTGATCCGATCCAACCCCGCAAGATGTTCCATCTTGTTCTCCTTGATCCCTGAGCGAGACTTCGATCGCCAGTTTGACCCAGGAAGTCTGATGATCCTTGCGGAGCCCATAGATCGACTGGAATCTGTAGAGATTCTCGGCATTGATGGTCTTGCGTAACTCCGTAGCTTCCAGAATCAGCCTCTCCGTAGTCTTGGTCGGTGCATCCGGAACCTCCTGAAGCTTTTTGAGTGTAGGATCCCACTTGAGTGTCTTCCACTCCCCCGATTCTGTCAACCATCCCATGGCCTTTGCCGCTTGCATGGTCTCCTCGTTCTTGGCTGTATTGGTCAATCTGTTGCAGAGCTCGATGAGGAAGGCTTTCATCAGCACGATCCTTAGAGACGAGTCGATGAGCTGGGGTTCTCCTCCTGGGTCCGATTCCATTTTTCCGAAGCAGAGAACAGAATTGGAATCAAGCCTTCGGGCCCCGGCTTGACGAACAAGCACATGCTGGTATCCTGTCGCAGATTGCCCAATGCATATTCGTGGCGCAACGTCAGTTGACTCCATCGTTGGACAGTGGTTTGGAGGTCGTGAAGGTCCACATCTTGCCCCCAAGTGTTCTCCCACTGCCGGCTCTGGTTGGTCTCGGAGTGGCTCCAACCGTTTGAAGAACGCCATGAGGTCTGTCCTCCCTTGCCTTTGCCCTTTCCCTTGCCCTTGCCCTTGCCTTTGCCCTTTTGCGTGCCCTGCATGGCCCATGGTCTCGCAGCCTCTTCCAGTCCTCTGGAGAATCCTCCTCTCTTTCCCGCTTGGGTCCCGGGCTGACGAGGGACGGACACACTCCCCCGAAGAAGTTCCTTTCCTGTGCTGAGAGCTCCATGGGTTCCATACGTAGTTGCTGGCACGTCTGAGATGAGCCCCAGGAAACAGCTCACCTGGACTACGAGGCAATTCCGCCAGTGGGTATGCTTGTTAACAGCTTGCAGGTGGCAGTATCTACACGGAAAGACCATGTAAGGGGGTGAGGTGTGGCATGAGGCTAGCAAAATTCTGCACCCATTCATCACAGGTCCAAGGTTGAGCATGCAACCAGTGGAGAGCATGGCAGCTTCCTGAGTGGTAGCACACAGGGGCTGACACCACGGCTTGGATCTCCCGTTCGTTAGGGGGACTGCCGCGATCCGGCCATCGTCCAAGAGGG